GGGGGTGGGGGTGGGGTGGGTGGGAAGTAGGAGAGTTCTGGACCCAGGCCAGCCCCAGGTAACACTCAAGAGTTTATCTGAAAAAATAAGAAGCCAGGCACTTGTGCCTCATGTCTGTACTCTTTGCTACTCAAAGGCTGAGCTCTGTGAATTGAGGGTTAAAGCTACCTAGGCTGAAAATCCATGCGACTCTTACCTCCAATTGATGAGCAAAAAGAGGGAAATGGGGTAGACAGTGTGCCAATCTTAAGCAAAAAATCTAAGCAAGAGTGTGAGTTATTAGCCAGGCATTGATGGCTCATTTCTATAATCTTATCTACTCAGGAAGCTGAGATCTGAGGATTGAGGTTCCAAGCCAGGCTGTATATTTGCGATCTCTCTCCTATTTTGTTTCTAGTGTAGGGTAAGTGCTCATAGCTATAAATTTTCCTCTTAGCACTTTTTTTCCTTATCTTGAAGGTTAGGATGTTCATGGGGATGCACACGTCATTTAGAGGTCTTTGAGTTCAGTTGTTTTGGAAGCAGGATTGCTAGATCGTAGTTGCGCCATTTAAATTCCTACCAATGGTGTTTGAGGATTTGAATTCTTACACAATTCTTTTTCTTTTCTTTTTTTTTCTCTTTTATTTATTTTTTGCCAATCCTGGGGCTTGAATTCATGCCAGAGGGCACTGTCCCTGACTTTCTTTTGCTCAAGGCTAGCACTCTATCACTTTAGCCACAGCACCATTTTCAGCTTTTTGGTGGCTAATTGAAGATAAGAATCTTACAGATTTTCCTGCCTAGGCTGGCTTTGAACCATGATCCTCAAATCTCAGCCTCCTGAGTAGCTAGGATGACAGGCGTGAGCCACTAGCGCCCCATGTCACTATCACTTTTTGGTTTTTAAATATTACCCATTGTAGCAGGAAGGTGAAATGCTATCTAACTGCAGTCTTTATTTCCATATCCCCAATACTGATATGGGACATTTTTTCATATGTCTGTTGGCTATTTGTATGTCTCCTTTGGAGAAGAAATATCCATTTATGTCTTTTGTCCTTTTATTAATTGACATTTTTATTTTTTATATTTTGGTCAGTTGTGGGGCTTGAACTCAGGGTCTGGCCACTGTCCCTGAGCTCTTTTGCTCAAGGCTATTGCTCTACCACATTGAGCCACAGCACCACTCTGGTTTTCTGATAGTTAATTGGAGATAAGAGTCTCGTGGAATTTACTGTTCAGGCTGGCTCTGAACTAATATCCTAAGATCTCAGTCTTCTGAATAGCTAGGAATACAGGCATGAGCCACCGGCACCCGGCTTCACTGCTGTATTTTCTATGCTTTTGGCCTCATATCTGAAGATAGTCACCATGATCCATGTCAAAGAGGTTCTCTTCTATGTTTTCTTCCATGAGTTTTACAGGCTTAGGCATTACATTTAAGTCTTCAGTCCATTTTGCCTGGATATTTGTGTAAGGAAAGAGTCCGATTCAATTCTTCTACAATTTACATAGAGGCACCCAATTTCCCACCGGCCCCCACTTGTTGAAAAGGCTGCTCTTTCCCCACAGTTTATTCCTCTTGTCAATGATCAGCTTGGACAGATACCGATGGCTCATACCTGTAATCCTCCCTACTCAAGAGGCTAAAATCTGAGGATTCCAGTTCAAAGCCAGCCTGGCCAGGAAAATTCATGGTAGGACAATAGCTTTGAGCAAAAGAGCTCAAGGACAGTGGCCAGGCCCTGAATTCAAGCCCCACAGCCTACACATAGACACAAAAAAATCAGTTGGCCTTATTTCTTAGCTTTCCATTTTGCTCCTTTGGGCTATCTATATTTACTCTAATATCATACTGAGTTATATATTACCAGAGTTTTATATTTTGAATCCGGAAGTGTACAATATGGATGATCCCAAAGGACATTATGATAAATGAGATAAGCCAGTCACAGGAGGACAGATATAAGTTCAAGCTATATGAAGTACCTGTAGTAGTCAGACTCACAGAAGCAGAGAAAAGTGGTTTTCAAAGGCTAGGACAAAGCAGGGACTAGTTGTTGTTGAATGGATGTATTACTTAGGCTACATGAATAAATTCTACAAACCCACTGTGCAGTATACTGTCTATACTGAACAATAAAGTACTGTGTACCTCAAAATTTGTTAAGAGCTACACTCAGGTGGCTCATGCCTGTAATCCTAGCTAATCAGGAGGGTGAGATTTGAGGACTGAGGTTTGAAATCATCCAGGCAGGAAACTGCTGAAACTCAAGCTCAGGGACAGTGCTTAGGCCCTGAGTTCAAGCCCCAGGACCAGCACACACACACACACACACACACACACACACACACACACATTACTGCAGCTGGGCACCAGTGGCTTCATGCCTGTAATCTTACCTATTCAGAAGGCTAAGATCTAGAGGACTGAGGTTTGAAGCCAGCATAGACAGACAAGTTCAAGAAATTACATTTCCAATTAACTAAAAAGTACAGAGCTGAAGGCATGGCTCAAATGGTAAAGCATCAGCTGTGCTTAAAGTACTGAATTCAAACTCTGGTACATGAAAGAGATGAATATTACCATGTCTTCTGTCCGTGAACTCCTATTTTGGTATTTTAGTCATTATGTCAAGAAGAATGCAGAAGCTGGACGTTTCCTGGGGGAAGGGGGGGACTGAATGTCTCTGGACTCTGCCTGTTGTTTTATTTGGGTTTTTTCTTATGTATGTATGCTGTTGTCATAATAAAACGAGGGTAAAGTCTATCATTTTTTGATTATCAAATATTTCTATTGTAATTATAAAATGATATTCAGAGGGGTTCCAGTTTCCTAAGTCAGGTAATGCACACATTTCTTTTTGGACAATGTCACCCCTTCCTTCACTCTGTGTGTGCGCACGCCCGTGTCCCGGCTGTCCCCCGCGCCCCTGGCTCCTGGCTGGGAGCGGTGGCGGGTGGGGCTCGCGCCCCCCCC